TCTATTTCGGCATACTTGAAAGTGTGAAATTTCCAGACATTATTAATGATGTGAAACTTAATAGACTACGCTGTTTGTGATGCAATTGTATACATATACTGTTGCTAATCTCCAGTCAAAAAGAAAAAGAACATTTTCTGCTCAAATATTCATAAGTTGATAAATATGATAAAAAGTATAATATTTTTGAATGCTTAATGTGTTTGATCGAATGTTTGTTGATTGAAATCTTAAAAGTGTTATTAACTAATTGGTATTCTTAACTACTGTCCGTTGGTTAGTTACTTCGACTAATGGTTGGTTGAAGATAATCAGCAGGAAACCTTCCATCTTTGTCTTGAGCTAGGTAACAATAGTTATCAAGGCGTACCTGCAATTTTCAGAGGACTAACATTACTCGTAATGTTCGAACCCGCCTTACCTAATCTCACAGTCTGTGATGTCATCTTGAACAGCGACTGACCTCTCGTAGTACTAAGACTAACACATGTGATCATTGATTAACAACGAATGTCTTGTTTGTTTAACCCTCAGTAGTGATCGAATTTTCTTGATTAGTCAAAATGCGACTAATTACTAAGACTAGAGACCACATTTCAACTTGATCAATAGGTTTCGTTCAACACTAAGGAATAGACAAACAAGTTACTAACAATCAATTATCACTATGAATTGTTTTCACTGAATATTCTAACATAAGTTCAATACCAAAATCTTAAACCAAGGAAAGAAATACTTCTCTAGTGCTGCTTGCTCTCTTGGAATTTCAATCATTCATTAAACTATAATGTCAATTTTCAACAAAACCCCATAATATCATCTAAACTAATCATCATGGAATGTTTTTTTGAACCAGATTTTACAGTTTTTACATACTGAAACTATATTTTCCGGAAATTCATATGTAATCAACTCATTTCGCCCCCCCCCCACACACACCGTCTTTCTCTCTCTCTCTCTCTCTCTCTCTATTATCTTCAACCTCCATTACTCTTTGTAATCATTTAAATTAATTTAATTGCTATTTCATGTTTTATATTTTTATTTGGTGTTATTATGTAATAATATCCTGTTTTATTTCCCTATGTTCTCTGTTGTTGATAAGGTAAAAAAAAAGCAAGAAAAAAAAGTAGGTTGGAGCTGGGTTATTAATAATAATTCACAAACATGATTATTGTTATGGATGGTAATAGGGAGGATTTTAAGGAAATCTCTCATTCTATTGAATAACATTCATTGAATAGTATTTTAAATTTACCTTATTATGTTTTGTTTCATCTTTTTGTTGTTGTTGTTGTTATCTACCAGTTGCTCAGATTAATTACAGTGTAACTTGTTTTTATGTATATAAACATAAATCAAGTTCATAAAATATAGTGGTCTTGAGTGCTGTCAGAGGTATGAGGGCGGTTATTACTTCCCGGTTGCCCACACCGTGGAAAGGTTCTTCTGGAGGTACCTGAAAAGGAAATTGGATTAGAGGTGGTCTTAGTGACCTGAGAGAGTGACCGCAGTGCCCAAGGGACAACTGCTTGAGATCGGTCACACATAACCTTTTTATGAGTAATTTTTGTGTTAGCTCCGTACTTGTTGAGACCTTACCGCCGGAGACGGATATCCGTGGGATAAGGCGAGGTGTGCATTTTTAGGGTCGACCTTTTCTACCCCACCCCCACCCCTCCTTGTGGGAAGGCAGAATCGCTGTCATTTTGATTGTCTGAAGGAAACACCTTACTGCTGTCACACCTTTGTTGTACAGTCAGAAGTACGACTTGGCCTTCTGACCTTGAATTTGTTACTTTTAGTGTTACCGTTCTTTAACCGACCTGTCTGACATGGTAGGACGTTGAGGAACGGTTGTTGCACCCAGTATAGCTCGATTGGCTCATAACGATAGGCAAGCCCGACGACCACGTCAACGTAGCAACCAATTGGATTATATCTCATTTCGCCTGTTTTAATAATTGGTATGCTTTAATATATGAATTGTTAAGCATATTAACTTGTTAGTGCCCTTTGAGGTCCTTTTCTTCCCCCTCCCCACGTAATCCTCTCATTTCTTTCTCTCCTTATTATTTTCGATTGCTTGTTTCCATTATTGTTCAACCAGTATTCTGTATTATAAACATTCATAACTAGATAATATTATTTTACGTTTGTTAAGTGTTCGACGGTTAATGGAGTTAAATTTTAGGTTCGAATCCTGTTTTACTTTTGTTCAATATTATTTTACAAATAATGCAACTGAATTCCGAACTACATGAGCGACGTAACACATATATAGATTTACATAGATTGAAAATTCATGATCGAGATATTGATATAAAATTCAAAATTTTATTTTTTAATATCTAACGTACCATAACATTCCATTAGTCATAGGACAAATGTTGATTTGAATATATATGAACTGTTGGCTTGCCTTGTTTTTGAATTCTCTGTTCTAACACTGCAGTAGCTAAGCGGTTCGAGTTGATTGGTTAGACGAAGTTATACATGATATGTACGCATTGGATTTAGATTAGATCGGGGTAACAAACTCGGTTGAATGAATCATTCTCCTTCACTTTGATGATACTCCCCATGAAGTCAGAATTCGTGTTACATTTGCTCTTAACATCCGCGATTAGTTAGCGTTTTCGAACTAAGATTTACAGTTGCACCTTACGAACTGACGTTAGTTAGACAGCCATCAAAAACTGGGGAGGGGGTGGACTAGACATCTAATTATTGTAGTACTGAACTATTCAGTTATCCACATCCAAAGAATCTTGTGATACGTTTTAACAGTTGTCCAGTAACTCTCCAATAGTTTCTTCAATAACGTTAGTCAGTTATGTAAATTTACTTAAATGAACAACACTAGACAATGCTTATTTTCATTACTTCTTTATATAGACAATCATGAAGAGAGATTAGTTGTTGCAATGATCGTATTGATTTATTCATCATACTTGAAAAAACCTTTCCTTGAAACTAAAGCCAAATCAGAATTTGAGTCATTTATGTGGTTTCATCTATTCTTCAATCAGTACTTTTTGTTCAATTTCTGTTGATACACATTATTAACTTATATTACTTTTTAAGGTATTAAAATTTGGTTCAATGATTATTGATTCATTACGTCGTTACACTAAACCAGTTTTTGTCTATCTTCCACCAAATTCACAATTACGTGGTGGTGCTTGGGTTGTAGTAGATCCAGCAATTAATCCAGATTTTATGGAAATGTACGCTGATCCAATATCATCACGAGCTGGTGTTCTTGAACCTGAGGGTACAGTTGAAATTAAATATCGACAAAAAGATTTAATTGATACTATTAATCGATTAGATGATTCATGTAAATTATTATTAAAAGAATTAAATCATTTAAATGAGCATACAAACAATTTGTCAATGAATAATGATCCAGAATACAGTACAAAATTATTGAATATTTCCATAGAAGAACATCGTCAACAACTTCGTACTGCATTAGAATCTAGACAACAAGAATTATTACCATTTTATCAACAGGTTAGTTGTGTTTTAATTTTCATCGAAATATTTCTTGTAACTTTTATTTAAAACATTGAAATAAATTTTATATCTATCTAACATATATTGCTGGCGTCTGCTGGGATCACCAGGTAAGTACTAGTGAGGCTACACACAGGGTATTAGGGAATGATAGTAAATCAGTTGATGAGGTTGTGAATCTTCATCGACTGAGATGGTTGGGTCACGTGTTACGTGTATGCCTGAACACCGATTACCACGACGTGCAATACTAACCGGTGTTGGGGATGGTTGGAAGAAAGTTACGGGTGGCCAAACCAGAACGTTGCATCAGTACTTGAAGTCACTAACTTCTATTTTGAGCCATGTTGATAGATGCAGACTACTTGGTTGGGGTCCGCGTGACTATCGTAATCAATGGTTGGAGACTGTGGATGACATGGCTCAGAGTCGATCACAATGGCGTCGGTGTATACATTCTTTGTCTTCCTTTAAACCATGAGATTAAAATCGCTTCATATCTTTCCTTCTACGAATTCATTCTTTCTTCTTGTACTATATCTTTATATGCAATCTTTCGTTTATATATCACTACCATCATTAAATTAACTACTTTTAAGAATCCGTTGTTCATCTTGTTGTGTTATTGTGAGGTATGGCAACTTGGACCGATGCATATATGTGCCTGGTCCTACATTGTAGCTGACTGACTGACTGACTGTATTATATATTGCTTAATTTTTACAGGTCATTGAAGGTTATCTTCTGATCTTTCTATAATTAACGTAAACACTTAAAAACAAAAAAAGAAGGTATCAGAAAAATTGTAATGATTATATGATTGTGAATGAATATAAAAATGGGAAAAATATGACCAAATAAATCAATAAAATAAATAACAAGATAATCAACCCATCAGTGATAGATGATAGTAAAACTCATTAAAGAATTTTTAAAAAAAACTTACCGGGTTTCCCTAGATAATAAAGTAAATTAAGACTGAAACTTACTTATACAATATAAACTTATTCTTTTATGATATATATATAGGGGGGGATGGGAAGAGGATGAGGGGGGGGAATTATGTAATAAGATTGGTTGTTTTAATTAATTTTGACACTAAGGTTAATTCATTGAATGTTTTTTTTCTGTTTTGCTTTTTCTTCTCTTTTTGGGTCATTCAATAAAATACTTTCATGTATTATTCAATAATCTATTCACAGTTGCATTGTATTTGACAAAGATTCGGTTAGTCAGTCAGTCAGTCAGTTAATCAATCAGTGATAAAGATACATTAGCCTAAATGTAAAATCAGGTTAAGTTTAAGATTAATTATTATAGAAAGGGGAACAGTAATCATTTTTCTGTTTACTTCTTTCTTTCTTTCTTTCTTTCTTTCATGTAGTAAGTGAATTATACTTACTTACTTACTCCTGTTACTCCTAATGGAGCATAGGCCGCCGACCAGCATTCTCCAACCCACTCTGTCCTCCACCTTTTTTTCTAGTTCCATCCAATTCTTGTTTATTTCTCTCATGTCTATTTCCATTTCTCGGCGTAATGTGTTCTTTGGTCTTCCTCTTCTCCTTTGGCCTTGAGGATTTCATGGGAGGACTTGACTTGTGACGCAGTTGGGTGCTTTCCTCAATGTGTGTCCTATCCACTTCCAACGCTTCTTCCTGATTTCTTCCTCCACTGGTTTGTTCTGGTTTGTTCTCTCCCATAGCAGGTTTTTGCTAATAGTGTCCTGCTAACGGATCCGAAGTATTTTGCGTAGACAACTGTTAATAAACACCTGTATTTTCTGGATGATGGCTTTCGTAATTGTCCAAGTTTCCACCCCATACAGTAGAACTGTTTTGACATTTGTAGTGAAAATCCTGACCTTGGTGTTGGTTGACAGTTGCTTTGAGTTCCAGATGTCTTTCAGTTGTGGATGTGGTGCTCTCGCCTTTCCGATCCGCCCCTTCACGTCTGCATCAGATTCACCGTGTTCATCAATGATGCTGCCCAAATATGTAAAGGTTTTTACATTTTCCAAATCTTCTCCGTCAACTGTGATTAGATTGGTGCATTCCGTGTTGTACTGGAGAATCTTTCTTTTCCCTTCGTGTATATTGAGACCTACTGCTGCTGGAGCTGCTGCTACACTGATCGTCTTCTCTTGCATTTGTTGTTGCGTTTAGGATAGGAGGGCCAGATCATCTACGAAGTGTAGATTATCCAACTGCATCCTAGATATCCACTGTATGCTGTGCTTCCCTTCAGATGTTGACGTCTTCATGTTCCAGTCTATCACCAGGAGAAAGAGAAAGGTTGAGAGTAAGCAACCTTGCCTGACACCGGTCTTTACTTCGAACGAGTTTGTGAGCTGTCCTCCATGCACGATTTTGCAGTTTGATCAAGGAAGCTCCCATAGTGTTGTTCTGTCCACGCTATCAAATGCTTTTTCGTAGTCAATGAAGTTGATGTAGAGTAATGAATTTCATTCAATTGATTGTTCCACAATGATCCGTAGAGTTGCGATTTGGTCTATACACGATCTATTCTTACGGAATCCTGCCTGTTGGTCTCGTAGTTGGGTATTTTTGTATAATTATGAATTTACGTTATTATTGTTTGTTTGTTTGTTTTTATTTTATTTTATTTTCCTGTTATTTCATATTTTCATTATGTTTTCTATTTTTATCATTATGAAGGTGGCTTGTAAATTTGCTGATTTACATGATACACCTGGTCGTTTATTGGCTAGAAAACTTGTTCATCGATTAGTCGATTGGTCATCTAGTCGTAGTTTTTTTTATACACGTCTTAGACGTCGTCTTTTAGAATTATCCGCATTGAATCTTATCAATGGTGTATTATCAAATAGTTCTGATCAATATCCAATTGATATGAAGTACACTACCACTAATCATAATGTGCCAGTTTTAAATTTTAATTGTGAGACTAATAAAAGTAAAGAGATTTCATTGAAAGAAGAAGAGGAGATGGTGTCTAAACAATCATCAGTTAGTAGTAAGTCTTCTTTTATTTCATTTTCTTATTTAACCACAAAGTGTTTATTCAACTAATCTTTTTTTTTACAGCCATATTGTATCATTAATTAGTGTGATGTGATATCTCACCAGCATCCCCTCATGATCAACAGATTAACTTGAAACGATTTTAGTTAGTTGGAAAATGACATAGAGTCTTGTACTCAAATTTTTTGTTTATCCCTAAAATGTCGATTCAGCACATCTGTAGATTTTTTGTCGTTCACCGTCTAATCTCAAGATTCAAATTTATATCGTCCAATAGTTCAGTTGGTCAGTTAGTCATACTTAACGCGAACACTAGCACATGTGTATATACGTTCAAGTTACTATGTCAACTCACATAACTTATTCTAGCTTCTGGATAGGTGAATTTATCTATTCTTTTTGAGTCACATTTTGACTTTGTCAATTATTCACTTATCAACCCTGATTGTTTTTATGTAACCGTATTTGTGTTTATTTCTTATCTTATTCATCACATGTCTGTAACTTATTTATTTTTGTTCGCCTGTAAATATCGACTAACGTTTGATTAAATCAAGTTGGCTCATCTGCCATCTCCACCGCGTGTCATTTCGCTTCGATTACTTCTTTTCGCTCCCTTTACTTAGTCCATCTGATTGTCTTTTAGTGGCTCGGGATGTGACTCCAGTCATATCGTATGATTGATTGTTATTGAAATATACTTATTGTTTTAGCTAAGGAACATTGTTAGCTTACATAACATAAGATATGTACATTAAAATCTCCAACATGTAGATCGTAGCACTATTTGTGGATACCATCAGATGGACTGTAGTAATTAGAATCGATGGCTCTTGGTTGCGAAGCTGTAAGGGAAAATTTGTTGCTGGGTGGTAGAAGTAATACTAGGAATTGATGAAGTTGTTTGATTGTAAATAAGAAAACCTCTAGTGTTGTTAGACGTATAAAGAAAGTTGTCAGTTCTATGCAACCTACTTTGTGAAAGGGTATTTCTTCCTGATTTGTCGGAAAAACAAATAAATCCAATCAATAGTGTTACAACTAATATAGTTTGTTTAAATTCGAAGCCATTTAAGTTACAGTTTAGTAACACTTCTGTGATATTTCTTGATAACTTGCTTGAAAATCATAAATGCAACATGGTTTGAAGTTGGTTGGCTTGTCATAGATATACTTATCCTTCATCTCCAATTACATCTTTACGTCTTAGCAACAGTTCTACTTTTAATCTACATTTTTTGTAAGTTCTAATTGAACTTTATCTCTAGTTGTTTAACTCCGTATCATCCATTAAGATTAGTATTATTAATACTCTCAATGTACCCAGGACAGGGTTGGACAGAGAATGCTGGTGAGCAGCCTATGCTTCTTCACGAGGAGTAACAGGCGTAAGTAAAAGTAAATACTCTCAATGTGTTAATGTTAATTATTAGAAGTCGTTGTCTTTAATCAATCAATAAATTCTATTATTCGTGTATTTAGCAATATTTCTCTTTTGTTTTTTTTTGTTTTTCTTATCAGAACTTCTACGTGTTGAAAGTAACCATAGAATACGTTTTGATTCAGAAAGTTTGACGCAAACTGTTACAACTAATGATCTACCTAATAATTCCGATGGAAGATATTCACTTTCTACAACTACCTTGAAGTCTACCGTTTGCAATAGAGAAGATGTTGCTAATATAATTGCTAAACAAGTTCCTAATTTAGGTATGTCAATGATTTATTGGAAGATGGTCGCGCAATTTCGTGGATTAGTTGATGTTAGACACTATCACCATTGGATGTCGGCTCAGTGGTCCAGTAGGTTAAGCGTTCGCGGGCGAGATCGAAGGCCCTGGGTTCGAATCCCGCGAGCGGGATCGTGGATGTGCACTGTTGAGGAGTCCCACAATAGGACGAAACCGTTGTCCAGTACGTTCAGGTTTCCAAAGGTGGTCTAACATCAATCGGTTCATCATCTCAATCAAAAACTTAATAATCTCCACAACCCCCATATTAATATTTAGTTTCAGTCGGTATGATTGAAAATTTTGATTTCTTGTTTAAGATCAAATTGATCGCATCATTTCGATGATCTAGAATTACGGATCTTTTTAATTGTTACTTTTATATGATGTAATAATTATTGAGATACTTTGACGAGGGGAGGGAAACTCATCACCATATGTGAGATGGACCTTGATTTATCAAGGTTGAGGAAACTCAAGATAAAAATGGAGGCTAAACCTTATTCTTCTATAATGCAGAACTCCGTTTTTCTTCTTAATCCACTTACTTATTGGCTCATCCGTTAGACAGATTCATCGTCTAACGCCATTTGTATTAATGACTAATGACGTTGACACCATGATCAATAATCCGATTTGAAATAGATTAGGTTATCCCGTCTTCAATATTTTGACTGAAATTCGATCGTGATGAGAAGCGGAGGCAGCTCATTGCAAAGATCTTGATAGGTAGCGAATACAAAAGAGATGGAAACGGTAGGCTACTGTTAAGGCTTGTCAAGGAGACAAGTGAGACAGTCTTGGAAAAAGATGAAACTGTGATTTATTCTCAATCTAGGTAATAGGCCCGATGGTCAGAACACTTTAGGGAACATTTCAACTAGCCTTCAGCCACATTTCAGTTACCCAACATCTCCAAGTAACCCGAATGACAAGTTGATACTTTATCAGGACTTTTATGCGTCAAGACCTGGACAAATGGTAGGGAGAGAAGTAATTGAGTGTATTTGATAACATTTCGGCACGGATTCAGAAGATGTGACTGCGTTTTGCTAACTCGCGTCACGTTAAGCGTAGAGGAGATACCTACCTATCGAGCACAGGATGAGCGTACTGAGTATCAGTCCTCTCCGTTTTACTTTATCTCTGTGAAAAATGACGATCAAGACTACAGAATGTTTGTTGTTTACTAGTATTCGATCATAGGTATCTTCGAAGCATTGGTCGTACATTTATGGATAGTAGAGTTAGCAATTTAAAGTTGGATGCAAAGTACCATATAAGGATGGGAAAACGATTGACAAGATAGGGAACCTTTATCGACTGAGATGGTTACTAAGTGTATAACGTATGCCGGGTGATTCTGTCTTTTGTAGGAGTGTGTTGGAAGAAAACTAGGGGCGACCAGACTAAGACATGGCATCAGTTCATGAAGTCATTGTTAGTTGGACTGAGCCATGCGAATAGAATGATGATTATTGCATGTTTTGGGGGTTCGGTGGATTATCGTCACCATTAGTTAGAGACTAAATGGCACTGCTCAAAATGTTTTGGAATGTCTCGCGTAGATTCACTCCTTGTCTTTTCCAATAGCCTCAGTTTCTAAATCCATTATGAATTGTTTTCGATTCACTAATTTGTATTTTCTTTTCGAATGGTATCTTTAATGCTCAATTTTTTCCAGTGCCACTAGCACAGTTACTACTTCTGCTACGCTAGAATTTCTACTAACAGTTTCATCTCACTATGCAAACGGGTCAACTTATAGCGTTGTACATATTTACAATTTCCTACTTTGCTTCTTACCTAGTGAATTTGTATAGTCTAGATGTTAGTTAGTTCACAATGAAAGTCAGCTCAATTCTGTCTTCCTTTTTAGAGCCTGTCGTTTGCTTGATTAAATTAAACCGTTTATTATTACTGAAGGTTTCTAAGTTCCATCGCTAACTGAGTAATGGTTTCTCTTTGTTGTGATTTTTTTAGACTTCGTTCAAACATTCATTAAGTGCTCTCTTCTTTTAATAGTTGATGATGCAATCACAAAACGTTTTTGTCTTGTGGACTGTTATATTGTGTTGTCTGCAAAAATATAAATAATGTATGATTGAGAATCAAGGCTTCGCTCCCGTGGAAGTCCTACTCCCTACCTTCTCGCAGCATTACTGTTGTGTAGGAAATTGAGAAGACAAAATACAAATATCTGACGCTTTAACCGGATTGATGGACACTGAGAGTCCACCTAGGGAAGTTGGAAAACCCTGATTCCTCCAAACCAATGGTGTATATAGGCTCCAGTATCATGAATGAACAAATAGCGTATCAATCAATCGTTGGTCACCGGACTGCATCCACTTCACCTTGTGGTTTAGACCTTTAAGTCAAAGGCTCTGAGTGTTGTCGCTCTCTAAGAAAACTACTTGATTCGGTTTTTGGTACCTAAGTAGTAGTATCTCAGCCCTCATATAAATCGAATGATTTATATGGCATATATTTATTTATGTTTGATGCCTTCTTATACTAATATTTATATCAGAAAAGGGTTTTATGGAGATTTTACAAATTTCACTGGTTGAAATCATGAAGCTAGACCACCATGAAAAAACCTGGGAGCACTGGGCGGCCATTTCGTGCTGTTGTGGGACTCCCCAACAGTGTGCATCCACCATCCCGTTCTCCGTCGAGAATCGAATCCAGGATCTATCCATCTTGCTCCAGGCGCTTAATCAACTAGACCATTGAGCTGGCCGACATCCAACGGTTGTCTAGCTTCAATTGACTCATGATTTCAACCAGTCATATTTATATGTTTAAATCAATAATTTGTTTCCTCTTTTTTTTATTTATTTTTGTTAGCTATTCGTTACACCTATCCTACTGATTATAAAATGTCTCTATTAAAAGAATGGTTTATTGAAGCATTGAATAATACTCATTCTAATACAAATGATTATGATATATGGGATAATAATGATTTACTTATTGGTAATTGGTTAGCTAATGAATTAAATTGTAATGAATTACATGAATTAGCAACGATTGAAACAATTGAAGAATTATATTCTACAGATCTATTCATTCATTGTCTTTCATTTACTTCAGTGAATCATTTCCATAGAAACAATCATAATATTAATTTACAATTATTTAATAAAAATATTATTCAAACAAAAATTCAACAATTACGTCAAGTATATTTTATGGAACATATGAAACAGTAAGTTCAATCTATTATTGTATATGATTATAGATTACACTTAGTATTAAGATGATTGATTTGTGAAAGGGGTAGTCAACACGCATATTCTAGATCTGAATGTTGTGTTATTGAGTACTCCATCAACAAAATGTATCCGGGATCTAGGGTTTTTGTGTTGACTACCACCTCTAGCACAATGTCAAATCATCTAGACTAGTGACTATATTGTAAGTTGGTCAATAGACCAAGTTTCTCGTCCTTTTATCCGTCTATCAATAAAAGGACGAGTATACTGCGCGGCAATTCGTTCTGTTTTAATTTACTTACGGCAGTGAAACATGGCTATTAAGAGTAGAAGATACTCATACGTATGCCTGAACACCGATTACCACGACGTGCAATGCTAACCGGTGTTGGAGATGATTGGAAGAAAGTTAGAAGCGGCCAAACCAAAACGTGGCATCAGTGGTTGAAGCCACTAACTTCTAGTCTGAGCCATGTTGGAGTCCGCTTGACTATCGTAACCAATGGTTGGAGACTGTGGATGACATGGCTAAGAATCAATCAGAATGGCGTCGGTGTATACACTCTCCGTCTTTAAACCATGAGATTAAAATCGCTTCATATCTTCATTTCTACGAACTAATTCTTTCTTTCTGTACCATATCCTTATATGCAATCTTTCTTTTATATATTACGACCATTGAGTTAACTACCATGAATCAGGTGTTCGTCTTGCTATGCTAATGAGGTATGGCAACTTGGACCGATGCATATATGTGCCTGGTCCTACGTTGTAGCTGACTGACTGACTGAACTTGGTCGATAGCATTCGATCTGCACTAAGGATTTAACACATATGCTATTATTGATCACTATTCACTATTCAATCAAATATGATCGCTTATACTTGTAAATGAATCGATCATTAATTCATAATCGATACTTTGTCCGATCGAAAGTGTCTGTGTTAGTTGCTAAGTAAATAGGACGAGACTCTAATGTATGGATGACCTTTGAACGAATCTTAAGTCACCTTAAGAAATATTAGCCAATCAGCAAACAGTCTGTATAAGGTAAAAATATGTTATACAAAACCACGGAAATAAAGTGGATACACTTCTTATACGTGGTTCAAAAACTCGTCAAGGTTAGAAAGAGGTTCTGAGGTTGTAAAATCGTAAAGCATGCAGTGGAAGAAATCATCCATATGTCTACAGAATAGTCGACCACTGGAGCCATGATAAAGTTTCAAAAACGCTTTCAGCCTCGACCATATAGTTTCAATATTGATTGTGTGCACTCCAGTTGTTGATTGCACAAAATGGTACTTGTGGTTAACGACACGATGCACATAATCAAGCCTATATAGGAGTCTGTACACTCTCCAATCATCCGTACATATTGTAGTACCTGGCTGCACCCAGTGTTACTGGTGCTTTTATTATCCAGTTCGCGATAGTTGTCATAATTTGCCTTAGTTAGGAATTATATATAGGGTTTCCATCACGAACTGACATGAGCTATAATACCAGAAATTTATTTAGGCAAATGGATGAAAGGCTTTCGTGTTAAACTCCAAGATCTATTACCTTATTCATGATTGATTCGTCTACAAATTATAGTCTCGCCGTTTTATTTGTTACAGCCGCTCTAATGTCACGTTTTGTACAAAATGCCCTGTGAACCCATCGCACGTTAGCACTGAGCACTGAATTTGGCGCTGTAACCTTGAAATCCCTAAAACGCCTCTGATTGGCTCGTCCATAAATTAGAGTCTTGCCGTAAATAAATTACATTCCCATAGAATAGGTGTTCTCTATGAAGAATTCAAATAAAAGTTACTGACAAATCAATTATATTTAAATAATTTTCACTGTAGAACTTAAGATGATTGACTGACTGACTGCATTTAAATAATGACTTCATTGATCATCGGAATAGAACAGTTACAATGGCAGTAGAGTTATTGAATCAACAGTTTCTTATTTATGTACTTGTTGACCTACTGGTTAAATTGTACAAAAACCAAACTATCTAAATAGGTCTCATTTCAGTGTTATTATGCCTTATATGGTCGTAAACAGTGAAGTTCAACCGCATTATGCATCAGTTCAATATCACTTATACAATGGATAATACTAACTCGATGACCAGACAGTAACACATTGTTCAGTAGTTCTCATCAGTTTCAGTAGTTGTTCACCCAAAGTGTTAGTCCAATCAAATAATCTTCGCATATCTCTTTCGATAATAACTAATTGTTTTTTTTGTCTTTGTTTTATTTTTGTTTATTTTAACACATAAATATTGGTACAAGAGGGCACCAAATACATATGCAGCACACCATATTTGTGTGTGTGTGGGCTGTGATACTGCTCGGGTGCCCAGACCGAGACAGGTGGTTTTCTTAGGCGGCCACACCCAGAGCCTTTGACCTAAAGGTTTGACCCACAAGGCAGTGGAACATCGTGAGGAGATGCAGTCCCATGGTGGCCGGTGACCGACGATCGGTTCATACGCCATTTGTTCCCTCAGGATACTGGAGCCCATGTGCACCACTGGTTTGGAATCCGGTTGAATCGCCGGACATTCGCTTTTCGTCCTCTCATTTTGGTAAACAACACCCCCGCCACGAGGATGCAGTGAGTAGGACTTCCCTGGCAGAGGCTGGATACGCGTGGCTGTGTTAGAGCATTTCGAGAGGAAGGGTGGATCCACCCCACTCTCGGTCATACCAGGGCATTTGTCTTTTTACACTCCCGTCTAACAACTAGGTTCATCATAATAAATCTTTTTTGTTTTCATTAGATTTCTTTGTTTCTACACTTTTTGTTTTGTTTGTTTTATTTTAGATCCCTTATTCATAGTTCACAATTATCATCGAATGAATTAACTACATTATTTCAAACTGTACTCACTTCATCTGAACGTTATCATTTGGCTAAACTTCTTTTATCAGATTCTACACTAAAAATGGATGATCATATTAACAATAATCATAATGATGATAATAAACAAAATGTAAATGATTGAAAAATCAATAACTCTCCTTTATTACATCATAAAAAGGATCATTGATATTTCTGTGATCTTTATTGATTTTTTTTTCTTCTTCTTTGATTAGATTGTGTATTCGTTTCACCTTAAATATTGATTAATTATAAATTAGGCTTCTAAAATTCTTATTTCTATGATAACAATGTTACTTTCATGTTTCTGATGTAATTGACTTATTCTCTTTCATATTAGTACATCAATAAGGAAAGATCGATGGAGAGAGAGAGGGGGGGGATCGAGAACATTTACTCCATGAACTGAGCAAATGAATTCAGTAATACTTTTGATTCTTATATAATGTATGTTAATGATTTGCTCACTGTCTAATATATATATACATATATAGTTGTTTATAGTTTTAAGTACTGCTGAATAAAATTTCACATAGAAACTGTATAAAATACGTACTTATGTAAAGAAGAAGAAGAAAAAAAATCGTTATTCTTGTAATTTACAAACAACCACCCACCCACCCACTCACACATACACATACATGACAACAATATTTATACCCATTTGATTAAGATTTCATTAAAGTTGTAATGTTTTATAGTTTTCTTTGTGTCACTGTCTACTTTTTGTGTTTTCCATGAGGTTTACTTTTCTACTTCGGTCCCATCATTTCGATCTTTTGTTTATTCTGTTCTCTTGTTGTTGTTGTTGTTGTCATTCTACACTTTCTCTTGTACAAAACAATCAAGAAGAGAGAAAAGAAAAAAACAAATAACTGAGAGAAAAGACAATTCAATGATAGAATTGAAATTACCCCCCCCCTACCGCCCTTACCTTCCGCTACGTATACATTACGTATGTGATTCCATTCATTCCAATATAATTGTTATATAATGCCTATTAACCTATTTTAATTCTTATTACCTGTATTCAAATAAATCATTTTCATTTTATGTGTTAAATACAAGATATTTAGTTGCTATGGCTAGTCTAATCTAACATTGTTTCATCATTTAGAAATAGGGTATACTAGTCTTGTGAAGTCTTAAAAGGATTATCGTTCATTCTTCTGTACGCTGATTGTTGATGCTAGTCGATTGGAACAGATTCTTATGATATGAAGATACTATTTCTGTCAGAATGTTACTTCAATATTCTCTTTTAGTAACTATACAAATGAATAGTTTGAAGTTCAGACAGTCAGTAACAACGTAGAACTTCGTACGTACATACATCAGTTTGAGTTACCACACTATATTAGCACAGAGATACAGTTGTCGATTCAAATCCCGTAGTGGTAGAGGTGGTAAGAGTATAAGCAGTAATCGGAAAGATTAGGGTTTGAAGATGTTATTTAAAAAGTATTTTTACTGATCCTTCAAATATTCCACATTTAGTAAATAGTTGTCTGACCAATAGGATTTGAAATTCCTAATCTTTCTATCTGACTGTCATTGTTTAATAGTATTCATCCATGACTCCACCAGAAATAAAGCTCAGATTCACTTGCCCCCAAATGCCTTGATACGTCCGAGAGTGAGGAGAGTCCGCTCTCCCTCTCCAAATGCTCTCACATGGCCACGCGTATATAGCCTCTGACAGGGATGTTCTACTCATTGCCTTCTCGTGGCGGAGGTGTTGTTTACCAAAATGAGAGGACGAAAAGCGAATGTCCGGTGCTTTAACCGAATCCCAAACCAATGGTGCACATGGGCTTCATTATCCTGGGGGAACAAATGCTGTATGAACCAATCGTTGGCCACCGCCTACCATGGGACTGCATCTCCTGATGTTGCCCCACTACCTTGTGAATCAGACCTTAAGGTTGAAGGCTCTGGGTGTGGTCCCCTAAGAAAACCACCTGTTTAGGTTTGGGCACCCGGGTAGTATCACAGCTCTCACACGTATCGAATGAGATTTGTGTGGTTTATATGTATATGGTGCCCTCTTGTACCAATATTTATGTGTTAAAATAAATAAAATCAGATTCACTGGGCTAAAACAACATTTCAACGTACTTTATTTTTCAATAATTGTCTGTATACAGTCAACACAAAATACAAAATCCCAAGAGAATAATCTCCACAATACTATATTAACTGTAATTCCTTACCCTGTGCCAGTAATCAAACAAAGCATGGATAATATCCACGTGTTATCGGTTACTCATGAAAGTTATTTATTAAGAATAGTCTTTAGAAAGATTACTTGAATAAGATGTATTTACAGCTGTACACCTTTTAAATAATTTTGCTTTAAAGAGGCAACTTCATTTACTACAAAAATATTATCTTATAGTATCACCTTGTATTATAGCCTACAGACTGACTGTATTTTTTAAATGGGCAAACGATACTAGAAGCACTGAACGGCTGTTTCGTCTTATTGTGTGACTCCTCGGTAGTCCGCTTGCGGCATTCGAACCCATGTGCTCACTAGTGACTAGCTTCGTGACGGAATTCTCGGAGTTCTAATGAGAAGCCATGACCAGTGGAGCTAGCCTATGTCATGTAGAGACACGTATCTACCTCAGTACAATGGAAGATGGTCGCTCATTTTCGTGCATTGGTTGTAGTAAGACATTAACATCGTCGGATACTGACTCAGTGGTCTAGAGGTTAAGCATTCGCACTCAAGAACGAAGGCCTTAGGTTCAAGTCCCGCAAGCGGGATCATGGATGCACACTACTGAAAAGTCCCACAATAGGATGAGATGGCCGTTTAGTTATTCCAGGTTTTCAATGGTGGTCTAACCAATCGATTAATGATCTCAATCGAAAAACTGAATAATTTCCACAACCTTATGCTGAAACCGATACCAGCATTGCACGCAACAAGTCTTTGTTAAGCTTTAAGCACTTCGATATAACTCTTAAGATATTTCAAAAATTTACTATTTCGACTAATATAATATAAATTAAAAATGAAATCTTTGAAAAAACAAAGACCATACCGAATAGTTTCCATAATGTGATAATGTACATGAATAATCTATAAGTAGCATTGATACTCAGAAATGGGATACAGGGTTTTAATGGTTAATTATTCATATTACAACGTTATGTAACTGATGAATGTCATGCAATCTCTGATTGGTAAAATAACTAATTTATTATTTTTTTCGATTGAGATCATGAACCGATTGATGTTAAACCACTATTAAAAACCTGGAAGCACTGGACGGCCGTTTCGTCCTATTGTGGGACTCCTCAGTGACAGTGCTCATCCACGACCCCGCCTCGTGGGATTCGAACACAGGGCCTTCAGTCTCGCGCGTGGACGCTTAACCTACTGGACCGCTGAGCCAGCCGGCATCCAATGCATGGTGTTAATGTCTAACTTCAACCAATCCACGAAGTTGCGCGACCATCTTCCATTGTACTGAGGTATACACCTGTTTCTACCTGACACGGATTAGCTCCACTGGTCACGGCTTCTCACCAGAACTCAGAAAATTCCATCACGAAGCTAGTCACTAGTGAGCACATGGTAATTATCAGTTTATGGGTTGTGGAGATTGTTAAGTTTATTCCACTACAAAATATAAGTAGTATCTTGAATTAAGTGAAATTTTCTAAACATTACGAACTTTACTATTCGCTGACCATACATAATGATATAAAGGGAACAATGTCCAAAACTTCAAATATTAGTTAAGTAAATATAGAAAATCGTATTCTTACAAATCCTCACCCAATTAAATTACTTAAGAAAGCTTCAAATAGTTCATCTCTATGAAATAGCGATACATACATCATTGTAAACTTGCATATACATTCAACTGAGAATTATGTCTGACTGATGAGCGATTAAAATAACTAAAGCTGAGCCAAGTTATATCGATTGATCATCATTGTTTTAAATGAATAGTGTTACATGGATTACGATCGTAATAAGTAGTATACATTATTAATTTAAGTTCATCAAACTCAATATAAAATAACTTAGCCTTTTGAGTAATTGTAAAAAATACTCAAACTCTTTAGCAATTTGACAATTCTGGAAGATCTCTAACACTTAACTAATACCATCATAAAGATCTCAATTAAAATGTTTTACACCTATTTACACTACTAAAAACAGTTGATTAAGCGCCTAGTGCATGACTGATAGGTCCTGGGTTCGAATCTCGCCGGAGGCGGGGTCGTGGATGAGCACTGTCACTGGAGCGTCCCACAATAGGACGAAATGACCATCCAGTGTTTCCAGGTTTTCCATGGTGGTCTAGCTTCAATTGATTCATGATCTGAACTGTTGAAAAACAGAATATTTTGATTGTGATCATGAACCACGTAATGCTAGATTACCATTGAAAACCTGGAAACACTAGACGTCCATTTCATTCTATTGTAAGTCTCCTCAGTAGTGCACATCTATAATCTCGCCTCATAAGATTCAAACCCAAGGTCTTCTACTTCATTTCAAGTTAGTTAGTTACTTATTAAATACTATAAATAATCCAGTTACTCAAAATTATACAACTACATCGACTCCCTTACCTGGAATTTAATACTTCAATACATATTTCATCACTTTGTACATCCATAAAACGTTGAAATAACGAACTGATCAATTGTTTATATTATCTCTATTATAGTTACTTACGGAGATAGCAAGTTATATTCTTCTTAAAGGGACTTATTAAATCATAAGTATCATGATTAATTTTTATTCTTATATAATCCCAGCTTGAACTTAACCAAGTATATACTTGAACCTATAAACCTATTCATTTGTATAAACAAATGAGAAGAAATGAAAAAAAAGGAAATCTTCCAAGGAATTATTTATTATCCTTTCTTAGTGGATAAACAAATAGATTTGGCTTCACTTGGTATTGTTTGGCTTGTATCTTCCCATTGAGGTTTAAGACTGCAATGGCATCTGAAGCGAATAGTACTGGGTTCGAGTCCCAGAGGGAACATCCACTCTGAGATGCAGGTACATCCAGTTGATGAGTCCCAAATAGGACGAAACGCGCGTCCTGGATTTCACTGCTAGTCACTATCCGTCGTTGCTTACAAAAATATTTGGCTTTATTTTTATACACCTAACTTTCAGGTTTCATATCGAATGTAAACGATTTTAATAGATTGAGAATACTAAGATAGCTTAAAAACATCATCGATAAATAAGAAGGATCAGATACAGACATCAAAGGCGAAGATTGGCAAATCAATTGAAGAATATATGGAACTCAAGACAACTGTTAATTAATATTAAAGTCACAATCTTCAATACGAATATCAAGACATCGCTATTGTACAGAGCTTAAACTTCGAGAACTACTACAAACATCATCAAGAAGGTGCGAGTATTTATAAATAGTTGTTAATGCAAGATATTCAACGTCCATTAGCCGGATACCATTGAAGAGTAAATTAGGAAAAGATGATGGACATGGGTAGGACATACATTACGGAAATCATCAAACTGCACCATGAGGCAAGCCTCAACATGGAATCCTGAAGGGAATCGGAAAATAGGAAGGTGAAAGAACACATTACATCGGGATATAGAATCAGATATGAAAAGGATGAATAACAACTGGAAAGAGTTGGAAAGGATTGCTTAGGACAGGATTGAATGGAGAGTACTGGTTGGCGGCCTATTCTCCTCCACGAGGAGTAGTAGGCATAAGTAAGTAAGTAAGTTAAAAAATAATTCCAAAAGTAAGATTATAACATCGTTTAAGAATAAAATGTTCTGATGAAACTTTTTTAACTAACTGGTTTGGATGCTTAAAACTGTTTAGCAGCTCAATACTAAGAAGAAACATGTTCCAATGTCCTTAATTTTTAATGAGCATCTCTAACTCCTATCTATTTGTGATATTCAATATCTTTCATATTGATAACCAGACAATAGACAACAGATATACACACATCCACATACATGGTCATACGCAATCCTCATCGAATGTCTATGTCACAGTGAAGTTTAACGAAATACCAACTAAAAGATTTTTAAACAATCTACTCT